TTTGAAAATTTTGGTTGAACCGCATTGAATTAAAGAGATATTCTTCGTCTGAAAAAGTTCAGTTTGTGAAGAGTGCAAAAAATTTCAAAACGTGAAAGTTTCAAAACTGATTTAAAAGCTAGCGGACATTCATAAGCAATGCAACCATCTCAAAAATTTCTCGTTGAATATCAACATCAAGTAGCACAGTGCAACAAGTGAAACCAATCGTTAGCAATACATAGCGAATAGCGAGATTTATGATCAATTTTGCTGATCTACGGTGATGGGCACGCTAACGAAAAAAGTTATCGCGGCAATCGCTAATCCGCTAAAAAACGAAAATAAATCCGCTAACGTTAAGAAATTCTGCTAACTGAGCACGTTAGCGCGCTAATCGCTGACGCTAACATCGCGAAAAAATTGGCGGAGTGCTAACGCTAATCCGCTAACTCTTTAATTTGTCGCTAATTTGGAACATATTCTTAAAATTTGCAGTAGCACCATTTATCTGCAAAGGAAAAACGTCATTGCGACATTACACAATTGAAAATGTTCATTGAATCATTCAACAACAGTCGATAAACATCAGTCACTAATGATCATCGGTCAAAACTATCACTATTCTTCTTATTAATTTATTTTAACAGTTTCAATATCATTTCAAAATACTCAAAAGCAACTTCACGATTTCCAGTCGTGACATTCTACAAGTTTGCTGACCCATCCCAGTGGGCATTACTCAACGCGTGGATGGCAAATTTGCCTCTGGCCTTTGGGCCTGCTTTTGTTGCTTTGGGACATAAGGACTGCCAAAAGTGAGAAGGAAACGGAATAATATGAATTAGATGAATGTAGAGCAAAGAAATTCAGAGGAACTTAAGAATCTCTTGGGGAATAAAATCGATGGTACGGCTCCGAATCATATCGTCATCACAGCGCTCGATTTTTAGTCCCGAATATTCGATTATGCTGNGAGAAATGTTTTGGTTTTGGCATGGAGCTAGGCTCAGGGCCAATATCAGTTTCGTGCATTACTTACAACTGAATTCAGTTTTATAAGGATGATCGAGCATCGTGTGGTCAAAATACGCATGATCGAGGGAAACATATCTCGATGATCTGGTCTGAAAGCATCGCTCTTGTGTCGATAATCCACGCTGAACCATGGATCCTAATGATAAATTTCAGCTCTCGAAAGAGTCGTAGAGTTTCTCAAAAAATAATTTGTTTTGTTACTCTCTGATGCAGAATGAATTTCAATGTATTTATGAAAGGTAATGAAATAATAGTTGAGGAGTACGAAACATCGAATCGTTCGAGAGGTAGAGTACGGCAGGCTTGAACTTAGTGCACTCTTACAGCGCAAATTTTTGTATTCACATTTTTCAAGAACATTAGAGAATTAGCGGACCAATTCCGCTAATTCGTTCGCGAAAAATTAGATCGGTTAACCACTAATTCGCAAACGTTGGCAAAAAATTAGCTTACCAATTTGCTAAAAAACGAAAATAACTCCACTAACGCTAAAAAAAATCCGCTAATTGAGCACGTTAAGGCGCTGATCAGCTAGTTAGCGATTGGCGGATTAACGCGCTAATGCCCATCACTGCTGATCTGAAATTAATTTTTTGGTGAAAGCTGGATCGAATATGATTTTGAGTGACCGATAACGAGCGTTTGTCTATGAAATCGTTTATGCGGTCAGTCAAATGGTCACTTCCAGCTGTTCAAGAGTCGATTACTTGCCTTACTCTAATGATGGACAACAAAATTGAATTAAATTATTTTGAAATTATAAATAGCGATAGGCACAACGTTGTTGCATCTAGTTGCTTCCGTACATCCCATTCTGATGCAATCTCGTTTCTGCAAATAGCTCAGTACATTTAGCAATAAATTTTCACACAGCATTCAAAGATAGACGTCTGATGTTTTCATGTTTGGAAAATTTTCGGATTCCAAAAACGGTTCTCTCAATGACTATGATCACTGCTGCTCACGAATCCGCCAATATTATTCGGTATCTTTTCTCAACGGCTGTGAACCACTAAAAAACACTCCGTCTAGATGACAGAGCATTGAGCTTCCGGAGATGTTCCTTGCGAAAAGACCACTCTTGCTATTTGATGATAAGCCTGTATTTGTCGTGGCCGTCAATACGGATATATTTGATGCATTCAAAACTGTTTATGTTCAGCAATATTCAATGAATCATTTAAAATAGAAAGAATTTGAGACAATGCACACAACTGATATGAGATCGTTTTGATGTGCTGAAATCAGCACAAATACTTGAATGTAGTTAGCCAACGCCTTCATGACTCAGTTACGATGATGTGGTGGTGGTGGTTCAGTGCTCCATGGCTTACGAGATTGGGGTAAATATCGAATTTTTGAGCTGAAACTATCATCTGCNGTTTTCGATGAAATGAGCTGCATTTGCGTGCCACCAACGAATTGGCGTTTTCTTGAGACGATTATCGATCGGATCTGGGAGATTCTTATTTCTGCCTTTATTCGGAGGACTTTTGTGCGGAATGTCATCACGAACCTACAAATAAAAACACTGGTTAATAGATTCATTGGAATGTCTAGTGATAAAGAAAAGAGCGAATTCCTCACTAAAAGATGCACAAATTTTTTGAATACAATTGCATTTTGATGCGATGATCTACTCGCTCTAGAATACTGAGTGAAATTAACGAAGAAATAACCATCAGGATATTTTTTGTACAAACTTTCAAATGAGAGGGGCGAATTCAACTGTACTGATAAGATAACAGCTCTTGATATAATAACAGATAATTAGATAATAGATACAGGCCGGATTTTAGCCTGGCTCAGGCTCACAACATTAATGATATTGGTACACCACTCGGTTTCAAGCAAAACTTTCCTCCACGAACGGGAATCGAACCCGCGACTTACCAGTTACCGGTTGGGGCTCTACCTCTGAGCTACCGCGGAGATAGCTCAGAGCCCCAACCGGTAATTGATAAGTCGCGGGCTCGATTTCCGTTCGCGGAGAAAAGTTTTGCTTAGAACCAAGTGGTGTACCAATATCATTAAAGCTCTTGCTGTATTAAATGAGTTCCACATAGCCAATATGTATGTTAGCTCAAGACCAATCGAACGCTACATTTCTTCGTTTGCACTACAGTGCGGTTGTATGGATGATCATAAAAAACTTACAGCAGCATAATATTGCACGATACCCGGTGAATCGGTGTATCGGTCACAAACATGTTTTATCAAACCATTATAGCCGATTTCACCGACTTTCAGCAGTAACCAATGTCCAGTTTCGTTCCGATAAAAGCATCCTCAAAAGATTTCGATGAATTCTACTTTAATTTATTACCTTTTTCGTAGAGTCTAAGCAATCAAACGTTGCTGAGATCTTATGACCATATAAAGTTTTCTCAATCGTGCTTACAAATAATTTCATGCCTGATTGCACTAGTTCAAATGGACCTTTCTGACACAGCAAACATTAAGAAGTTGTAATATTCAAAGGTGTGAAGACATAAGTAAATCTATGCTTAATTGTCTTTTAAACCATAATTGTCTTTATAATATCTATTCTCATGTGAAGAGATATTTTTAAATCAACAATCAGTGGATATTTAAATCGATATAATGATCAATAGATGCTTAAATCAAATCAATCATCGCATCCAGTGTTTCATGTGAATATGAATGATGCTGAAGTGAAAGAATTTAATGATAACCTGTGACCCATCGTCCTGAATCGAGACAAACCCATTGGAAAACAC